ACTGGTTGGTGTCTTCTTGAGTAAGAATTATTTCAATGGTGGTCTTCTGTTTATCAATATGTTTAATCTGTGAACCAAGGAATTGTAGGAGTTGTTCATTCTTGGTCACATTCTGTTTTTGCTCAGGCTGTTTATTCTGTAAGGTTTGGCTCTATACTCAGATAGAACGAGAACAACGGCTTCAGGACAAGGAGATAGTTTTAGCAGTGTTAATTTACAGAAGTAAATAACAATAAACAGCGTGCTGGATCTGTAGACTTGGACAGGAACCCTGGAGAGAACGGAACAGTGTTAATGGGAAGGTCCTCTTGGAGGTTGTTTTTCAAGTTTAGTTTCTTACTTTAAGCAGGCAGGATTGTCGAAGGGTGAAGTCCAAAAGGTTCCAAAATGGTTTTACACAATGTTGGACAAGTGGTGTAAGGCAGGGAACAGATAAAGAGATTACAAGGAGGATCAGGAGGTAAATAGGGAGGTCCAAGGCTCAGGAGGATCACAGGAGTCAAGCTACAACAAGAGTTCAAGAATAGCTTTTCACAAAATACTAGGAACAAGGTAAAGGCCAGGAACACAACTACTGAAAGGCAGATAACTTGCCTGTGTTGGATAGCAGTCATCAACTGCCTTAAGTAGTCCTTGTAGCTCATCAGGTGAATGATGCTCAGGTGTGGATTTGTTGGCAACCTCTGGTGTAGAATAGCTGCAAGGGAAAATGCTTGAACTCTTACACTAACATTCCCAGAGGTTGTTCTCATGTAAACAGGGCCTAAATAGTGATGAAGATGACCAAAGGATGACGTGGCAAGAGCCAGTTCAGGTTATGGATCAGCAGTTAAATTGGTTTGTCAGAATTGGATGATATTCAACATTGTGCTCTAAGGACTTGTTTGGGAGAAGTAAGTAGAGGCACTTTGGCTTCAGAAGAAGGAGGATGCAAAAAAACATTTTAGTTCAGCTTATGTGTACAAAAGTCAGCAACAAACAAGAAAAAAAAAGTTTTGAATTAGAAGGCAATGAAAAATCTTTAACACAGCCCTGATCCTCCTAAACCACAGAACATGTGGACCAGTTGAGCAAACAAACATATTCCCTTTAGCACCTTAATAAGGGTAAAGAACTGGTCCATCATTCTACAGCCAGGTTAAAACAACATTGCTCCATTTCAACTCAAGGTTCAGCGAGTGGTGGAGTGGGGAACGTGAGGATGTTCACGGTAAGACGTATTGCATCACTTTCTGTTTTCTCTGCTGGTAGCTGGAGTAATTTGTTTGCTCAAGGAGTCTTTTGTTTTACATTCACATACATATACACATATGTGATAAACATACATATCATATTCACATAAACCGTTCTACATTCTAGTACACAAACACCATTGATACAGTTGTTTTTCTACTGTTGGATTGTGCTTGTGTCACCTTCTTATCTTTCAGCACTTCTGGTTTTTATTAGTGTATTTGGGATCAACTAGCTCTTGGTAGCATTAGCTTAGCATGACTTTTGGTTCTCTCCCAGTTCCTCTGTTCTCACGTGCTTTCTGTGTTAGATGTTTAGTTATGCCTCCTTTAGCAATATTGATACTTGGAATAAATGTTGTTTTATGGTAGCTTTGATAGAGAGGCTGTTTGAATTGGAAGCTCAGCTCCGCTCTATTGAAAACCTAATAGCTAGCCAGGTCCCCATTGGCAGAGCAGAGCCACGAAGACTAGCTACAATTAGTGGTCTTCCAACATATCCCGAGCAGCCAGGAACCCAGGCTGGTTGGTTAACGGTCCAGAGTAAATGTAGTACTACGTCTATCCCCTGTTCGCCATCGACACATTCACGTTTAAAATTGATTTTCCTCTCCTAGTGATACACCTGCTGAGAAGCAGACCAACACATTACATACATAGATTTGTAACATAATGCATATACATGGAACATTTCACAGAACTGAATGCCGAATAGAGTCATCTGCAGACTTTTATACAGCAGCGGAGACAGTGGGTGTTCACTCATAGCCAGCTGCAGTCAGGTGCACAGACATGATCCATGGCAATCGACGAGTTGTTCTCCAGATGGAGATAAGAAAATATTTGGGGTATGTTCTCATGGTGACAATGCCAAGAAGGCACTGCGAGTCAGCAAGCCAGCCTCCAGGTCAAGATAAAAGATTGCTTTGGTAGACATTAGGTTTTCAGGGTAGAGGGAAATAATTTTCTCAGCCAACATATATAAAAAACACAAACATTCATAACCCTTGACTGCAAATTCTCAGACAGCTTGTCAAGCATGCAAGCCCCCGTTGTTAAGGGTATATTTGCCATTCACAAAAACTGCTGCACTCCTCCCCTTTGTTTGTTCTTCTTCATCTCACTGAATTAGCAAAGGAGGAGCAAGTGTGCCTGCTTCTCTTTGAAAAAAGAGAAAAAGAAAAAAATACAGTTTCCAACTGTTTGCAACTCAACTCCTATCATTCATTTAGAGTCAGAGAGTCAGAGTCAGAGTTTCTTTATTGTCATTCACACCTCATGTGGTACATGTGGTGGAGCGAAATTATGTACACAGGGTCCCAGTTACATCCAACAATAAAATGTATAAGAAAAACAGTAATAACATCTAAGATATGAACTAAGAAAAACATCAACTAAATATACACTAAGCACTCATAACATAAAAACATTGAACATCAGCACAAACATGAACATGAGTCTGTGAGCAGATGTGCACGCATGAACACATCAACATGAAACAGATCAGCAGCAACATGAAACAGATCAGCAGCAACATGATATGGTTTTTCACAGTGATTATTCTAGTTAGAGATTCATGAGTCTAACAGCCTCAGGGTAGAAGCTGTTCCTCAGTCTAGTGGTTCTACACTTAATGCTCCTTAACCTCCTTCCTGAGGGGAGTGGGGCAAAAAGTGTGTGTGCTGGGTGAGTGGGGTCCTTCATGATGCAGGTGGCCCTCTTCCTGCATCTGGAGGTGTAGATGTCTGTGATGGTGGGGAGGCTGATTCCGACAGATTTCTGTGCAGCCTTGACCACTCTCTGCAAAGCTTTTCTTTCTGCAGCTGTGCAGCCTCCATGCCACACATTGATGCTCGAGCACAGGATGCTCTCCACTGCACACCTGTAGAAGGAGGTGAGGACTGAGCTTCTCAGACCAGCTCGCCTCAGCCGTCTGAGGAAGTGAGTCTCTGATGAGCTTTTTTGATCAGGCTGGTGGTGTTGTTGCTCCAGCTGAGGTTGTCATTCATGTGTACACCCAAGTACTTGTAGCTGGAGACCACTTCCACCGCAGATCCTCTTATGTTCAGGGGAGTGTAGATGTTTTTGTTCCTTCTGAAGTCCACAATCATCTCCTTTGTCTTCTTTACATTGATGTGAAGGTTATTCTCTCTGCACCAGCTCTCCAGGTGTTCCACCTCTTGCCTGTAGCTGGACTCATCATTGTTTGTGATGCATCCCACCACCGCTGTATCATCTGCAAACTTTACAATGTGACAGCCTGGATGGGTAGCTGCACAATCATACATGAGCAGAGTAAACAGGAGGGGACTCAACACACATCCCTGAGGAGAGCCAGTGCTGAGGGTTATGGTGGAGGAGGAGAGGTTGTGGATCCTCACTAACTGTCGTCTGTTTGTTAAAAAGTCTAGTACCCAGTTGCAAATGGAGGGGCTTAGTCCTAGTGTGGATAGTTTGTCCATCAGGGTTTGGGGGATCATGGTGTTGAAGGCAGATGTGATGTCCACAAAGAGCATACGGACGTAAGAGTTTTTTTGCTCCAGGTGGTTGAGCGCAGTGTGGACCACAGAGGAGATTGCATCCTCTGTTGATCGGTTCTCACGGTATGCATACTGATGAGGGTCCTCGTTGATGTTTGTTTTGATGCGAGTCATGACCAGTTTTTCAAAGCATTTAGCGACTATCGGGGTGAGGGCCACTGGCCGATAGTCATTCAGACCAGTCACTGTAGAGCTTTTTGGGACTGGGATGATGGTGGCAGTCTTCAGGCAGGTGGGAACTGTCTCCAGGGTAAGTGAGGTGTTAAAGATGTCTGCCAGCACCTCACAGAGCTGATCAGCACATTCCTTCAACACTTTTCCGGGGATGTTGTCTGGGCCAGTTGCTTTGTGCGGATTAATCCTCCTGAAGGTACTCCTTACTTCTGCTGAGGTCACGCTGATATGCTCTTCATCCCATGGTGAGGTGAGTCTGGTGCTGGGTGGTCTGTTCGGGTCTTCAAAGCGTGCATAGAACTTGTTGAGGGCATCAGGCAGAGATGGGTCTTTGGGGCATTGTTCACTCCGTCCTTTATAATCTGTTATGCACTTAATGCCCCTCCACATGCTCCAAGGGTCTTGTGAGATGAATTGACCTCGATCCTCTGTGCACATGTGGCCTTGGCCCTCTTAATACCAGCAAACAACTCTTTTCTTGTCCTACTCAGCTCCTCTGAGTTTCCAGACCTGAAGGCAGTGTTCCTGGCTTCCAGCAGGGTACGCACCTCTGCATTCAGCCAAGGTTTTCTGTTTGGATAGCTTTTAACATTTCTGATAGTGGAGACGGTGTCAGTACATGTACTAATGTAACCCAGAACTGAGGATGTGTATTGGTCAAGA